TGCCATTTTAGAATCACGATGATTAGGTTTGAAGTTCAAATGATTTGATTTCACTTTAAAGCTTCAGAAGCAGCCTCTGGGGCAGGCTTACACAATTAATTTTTTCTGAGGTCTGCTGGGTAATTTACTGTAGACAGAGAATTTTTATGAAGGTAAGGTAATTACCACTGGGTAATTTTATGGCACTCTGTTCAGTATGAAGCAACATGTTGGCTGCCTTCTGCTTGGATAAAACCTGGAGGAAAATGAAGATGCTGCCTCTGAGAATCATCGCTTGTTTGACACATAGAAGAAAGATGAACAGAGTTCACTCATTTCCTAGTTCTGGATCAGAAGTTGTATTTGCCCTCAAAGTGTCTTTTCAGTGTGTGCATGAGGACTTTGAGTACACAGTCCTGTAAATATTACCATGAGAATCTTTCAAAACTGAAGTACTGCACACGTGTTTCCTTAATGCAGGAGTGAATGCAGGATTTTAGTTTAAGTGCAGAAGTAAACAATGAAACAAAACATTCCTCTGAGATTTGTATTTATCACTTACAAGAAGCAGTTCCTAATAATCAGTGGCAGCTAGGCTGACAAGCAAACTTCAGAGCAAAGCCACGGGGGATACAAGTCTATTTTGGGTTTACTGTTGACAGTAAGGGTCAGAGGAAAAATAAACTCAGCAAGCAGTGTCATGCTACCACAAACCTCTGCTGGCCAAGCAGAAACTAAATTATGGCTGAACCTTTCATCACAAAAGAAACAATTGGGTTATTGAGCTGCCCTGCAGTGCACAGAGCATGACACAGAGATGAGCAGGATTAAGCACAAGTGAGACACAAATTACTGATAAAAAAAAGCTTAAATGGTTGGAGGAGGTAATTATTTCACAGTCTGGAGTGAGGTACAACATATTTACTCAAATAGCATGGATATTATTTTAATATCTAAAGTCTGAAAAATTAATTTGGAAAGCCCTGTGAAAACAAGAATTGATCACAGTCCATGTTAAGATATCCTTATTTTGCTCAATGTATAAGTAATATACTTATTTCCAGTTTTGGACTTCACCGCTAAAAAAAAAAAAAAAAAATAGGAGCAGGATTCAGAAATTTGTTTTATTACATACATGAGCACAGCATAAATATGGTGCATAATGTGATATGTATGTATGTGTGTATTAAAAAACGACTGCTTTTTTCTTAAAGTTTTCGCTCTTATTTCATGTACTTATTTCATAATACTACTGGAGAAAGTTGACACTGTACTAATATCACTGTTGATGGTATTACTGGCTTTAGTATTAACTTTACTTCCTATTAAAGCTGATGATAAAAGCAGCTGTGTGGATTCATAATCATCTCTATCTACATCTCTGCGGACTCATTACAAAGATCTGTTTCATACAGACTCATTGCCCAGGATAGATGTAATACTATTTTGTCATTCACTAGATAAAAATAAAAAAACGTCATTTCAAATATTCTGTTGCTTTCCTATTTCTTACCACTTAGTCCACTCGATGCAAACACAATCCTGCAATTACTATTATCTTTTTCTTTTTCTTTGCTTTGCTTTTAGTATTTTGATGAAGCCATATGTGTTTCGTCCATTGTCAGCAGATTTTATCTATCTGTTTTTTACTCTCAGGTATAATCACTGAGGGCAAAAAACAATAAAATTAGCCAGAAAATTTATTATTGCTCTTTTTTTCTAACCTGGGATGACAGCCTGGTTAGGAGTATCAATGTACGACAGACATAATTCTTCAGATTTTAGGAAAATGTTTAATTTATTTATTTATTTATTTATTTTAATTTAATTTAATTAATTTATATTATTTATTTATTGCTCTTTTTTTCTAACCTGGGATGACAGCCTGGTTAGGAGTATCAATGTACGACAGACATAATTCTTCAGATTTTAGGAAAATGTTTAAAAAACAAGTTCAGTTCTATTGAATTATTTCCCTGCCAAACTGATGTCTAGCTGTACCATTCTGTTTCACTTGTTTAAGGTACTACTCCGAAGCTCTCTGCTTATTTGAAATACCCCTGAGACATTTGGAACAAGTACCCTATGGAGCAATGCCACACTACCTGATTTTAGGTGAGATGATTTTCAGAACTAAAGGATGTCAAATTAACAGATTCTCATGACTTTTGTCTTGGGGTCCTGTAATTCATCTGTTTTGTCAGTGCTATTTCTGAACTGTTGTCAGCTGGCATTGAGGATGTCTTGAACCAGTCCCATAATGTGTGTTCTGTGAGCATCACTCTCATTAATACAAATACAATGTCTTTTCTATGTTTGTAGTCCTATGAACTGATAGGTAAAAGCAGTTTTCAGTGACTGTAGCAATACCAGATATGACTGTGAGCAATGTCAGGTGGATAAGCAGGAGAATAAAATTAAGGAGCCTGATTTCAGTGCCATGTATTCCTTTCAGAGTCTTTGTGATTGCTGTAGTAAATCATCCTCCTGCACTTCTTTCCTTCAAGGTTCTCTGCTTGAAGCAAAATCATTAATTCCATGGATCTCATTCTCTTTTCCTAAAATTTTCTTAAAAACTTTATCTCAAATAAGACTGTTGGATATGTTGACTGTGGAGTTGTATGTGGTAAGGAAAAGGACAACAGACTGTTCCCTGTTTGCAATAAGAAAATATTGCTTTTAAGATTGCACATGGTCTTTCCACCATTTCTTATGAACGTAAGCTTATTTTGGCATATTTCTCACTTATCTTTTGACATATGATGACACTCTCTACTAGTGCTGGAGAGTATAAAATTGGTTGGTGGAAAATTAATGAAGCAAAGAGAAAGGATCGAGAATAATTACTCGTATCTTGTGGCTTCTGGTAAATTGGCAGACTGAGGGGGCAAAATAGCAAATAAAGCACATCAGTGACAGTAAATACCCTTTCCAGTTTGTCCTTGTTGGAGAACTTCAGTGAACGTGCAGAAAAGGAAGAAGGGCCTTGTTCAGAAAATGAAACAATACAAAAATTGCTGCTGTTTAGCAAGGTAGTGTCTTATTGCCTGGGGAGCAAAGGGATAAATGAAATATCCAGAAGTTTTGTGTTTGAGAGGCGACACAAAGTCTGCCTTCTTGTTGCTTTTACATCAATCACGTTACACATGACACAGTTTAAACCTCCTATAGCAGTCTGGTTTTTATATCATAGTATGGCTTGGATTAGAAAGGACATTAAAGCCCACCCAACCCCAACCCCCTGCTGTGGGCAGGGCTGCCCCCCACCAGCTCAGACTGCCCAGGGTCCATCCAAGCCAGCCTTGAGTGCCTCCAGGGATGGGGGCAGCTTCTCTGGGGAGCTCTGCCAGTGCCCCATCACCCTCTGAGAAAAGAATTTAACATCTAACATCTAACTTAAATCTCCCTCCTTTTAGTTTAAAATTAGTAACCCTTGCCTACTGTATAAAAAGGTCTCCCACTCTTTTATAGGCCCCATTTAAATACCCCACAGATTTCTCCAGGCTGAAAAAGCCCATTTCCTGAGCCTTTCTTCACAAAAGTGCTTCAGACCTCTTGTCATTGTTGTGGCCCTGTAGTACCAACATTTTGAACAGGAAGGGAGAAAGCAATTTGGAAGTGAAGGCATGGGTCATACCAGAGGATGATGGTGATGGGATTTAGAATTCAGGGAAATAGATGTTAAGGATTCATCTCTCTAGTACAGATGCCATCTGAACATTTTTAGGGGAGGCAGGTGTTTTATAGTCATTGGTAAAGAAAGGCTTTGATCTGCATCAGGAAAATGATGCATAGGATGCATCAGAAAACAGTTATTTTCAGTACACATTACTTACGGGTACTAATCCACATCTGCCTCATTTCAGATGTTATGCAGATGGCATTTTTAGCAATGCTGTCAGCTTCTATGTATGGAGTGCTTTCTCAACCACCACATTTTACTTGTTTTAGATACTTACAGGACTATCTTCCTTCAGAAATAAGTTATGCAAGCCAGCAAACCTTGACATTGCGTCTTGGGAACTAGCTGCTGTTACAGGCAACTTGTCTGCTTCACGGATAAACCTTGTTTATAAGTTCCTTTGCTTACATTTACCCTAGAAACAGACCTGTGAAAGGTCTCTACCCTTCACTTGATCTGGTAATATTTTGCAGACGTCTCTTTCCCTAGATGGCAAACAAACACTGATGTTCTTCAGAAAAGTGTATATAACAGTATACAGAAGAATGGTGATTACAGTGCAAGTGAATATGTAAATGTCACCTGGTGGTGAAAAGCTGTTCTCCTGAGTTCGTCATAGTTTGTAAAAGCAAAGAAAGTGACTCAAAGGACATGACTTCAGACTACAGCACACAGACACATAGGCAAGCTTATTCAACTTTGAATATGCCTAAATTTTGAGCTGAAGGCTGGTTTAGCAATAGGTATCAGTATATTACTTTAAGGACCAATATATTAGTTTAGCAAAAGAAATCAGTGTTAGTTCCAAAACTTTCCAGTTTAGATTTGGTGTGCAAGCAGCCTTGTTTTTCTCAGTGATCCTGCTTCATAGAAGCAATGAAGTCACCATATCTTTGCATCTACCAGGCACAAGGACTTTTTTCATGGATTTCATGTATATTGTTTTGAGTTGTAGTGCATCAAGCTGGAAGGTTGCTCATTATGGCACAACAAGCAATGGAAAATTGTCAAATTGGGGAAAAACAGCTAAAGGTTGGACAAAGGGTGCTGTGATGAACTGCTATGATCTTGATATTACAGCTTACTTTGACATTACTACAATGATAAATGAAGAAGACAAATGCACTTCCTCTTTACTATTTGTAAAGAAAACCAGGAACTTAACACACAAATCTTTTCAGAGTTATTTCTGAAATAAAATTTAAAAAAAAGAGGTTGGCTAAAAGAAAAGTGTTAGCAATACCTACCATTCTCAGAAAATTTCAAAGATTTCCTACAATAGAAACTCTGAAACAAAACAAAACTGTAAAAGCAAGCAAATATAATGTATATTACTTACAGTGTATTTCTAGAACCTGCATTGCTATTTGAGGTGTAGCATTTAGGGATTCGTGATCTACTCTGCAGCTTACAACTGCACCATCATCATTGCGATCTGCAAGGAAATCCAGTGTGCTGCTGACTGTGAATGTTTTACGAGTTGCATCTTCTTCTTTTAAATATTTAACATCTGAAATAAAAAAATAAACATTTTTGTCCCCAATATTTTCAGAAAGAAATAGTCCAAAATTAAACAGCAACATTTACCTATCAAACTTATTTTTTAAAAAAAAAACACCAAAAAAAATTTCATGTACTTATTGACCTCTTTAAAACATAAGTAATTAAACTGTAGCTATTCTACTCTTTTCTCCTTTTGCCAGAGTAGAAGGTGTACATTGCAGAAGAAAATTCAAAATCAGTTACTTGATACTGCACTCAGAGGGCAATTGCTTTCACGATACTCTCATGTTTAGGTCCAAATCTTATATAAACGACAGTTCATTAGAAAAGTGTAGTCTACTCCCACTCTCACTTCCCTAATATATTCACAGTGTCACTAAATGTTAAATATTCTACATCCATCTTTGTAATGCATATCACTGAATCTGAACAAAGAGCTGCAATACATCAAACTCATGCTTACTTTATTCATTGCTTATTTTGTTTTTTAGCTAGAATCATACTAATTTATTAATTAAACTAAACCAAAGTATATATATATTAAAGTTGATGAAAAAATAGAGATAGTATTATTATATGATATATTACATTACATTACATTACATTACATTACATTACATGATATAATATGATATGATATTATTATAATACCTCATAGTATTTAGTGGGATGTACAGATGCATCCCAAGAACACTGGAAATAAAATTACTTCAAAGATACTTTCCACTCAGTGCTTTTTTATCGTTACTCACTGGCTTACTCTTTCAGAGCAGAGCCCATTAAAAATCTGTGCTAGCTTTCAATCTAGATATTACTGTGTTGGGATCCTACCACCATGATTAAGAATTCAATTCAGCTTGAAGTTAAGGTTTAGACTCAGTAAATTTCACTGTAGGACAAACAACTTACATTAGAACTGGAGAAGCAAAAGACTAAGCATTAATTTTTAAAAGTTATTGTTATTATTATTATTAATAACTTTTCTTACATACATATGAGAACTGGTTTACTTGGATCCCATCTATTTATAGTAGTTATTGATTTGTTTATTTCAGTAAAATCATAAGCTTGCTATATTGATTTATGACAAGGAAGGATGTAAAAGATATATACACAAATACATAAATATATATATGAAATTACACTGAGATTGCATACATCTTCTGTGTCCTAAAGAAATGAAAACACGAGAGGTTTCAGCTTTATAAATTACGTTAAATCCCATTAGAAAAGAATATGACCTAAATAAAATTTGCATTAAATATCCATATTAGAAAGCAAATATTAAATGGCTTAAGCTACTTGTTTATAGATAAAAATATCTCTGATATCAGAAAGATGTTCTTTTTCATTGTCTCTGGATAAATGAAGATACCATATACATTTTCTACTTTTTTCCTAAGACAAAATCATTTATTGCATACAAACATTTTTTTGCCTTTTGGTTGCCAAACTTTAAGAGATTTCAAATTTCTGACAAGGTAACCATCAATATTTAGGAATAAGAAGATAAGAGAAATACTGGTCGGGGCTAAAGCAAAGTTATTATAATCAAACGACAAATTTCTTCACTAGTTTTTGAGGCACATAATTGAGATTTTGTTCAAAGAAGTAAGTATGAAATTCAATAACAAGCACCTACACAGATTGCTTTATGTTTGTAAGCAATGTATACAATCAATTTCTTATTGACTTTAGGAGGACAGAAAGCTCCCGAGAACTTCAACAACTTTCAGTTCAGTGAGAAGCTGTGGACACTTAATCCCTCAGGAAGAAAAAACCACAAAAAACAGTTGATTTACTAGGCAGGTGTTTAGAAGTCTTTCCCTAGACACCCTTTATTTAGAGGGTAAAACCCTTAATTCCCTCCACTAAAAATATGGTGCTAATATTGTTGCAGTTGACATCCTTATCATCAGAAATACTTAGCTAGCCCACTTGATCAACTGTATCTTCTTGGATGTTTTTTCATAGGAAAAGAAAGTTATTACATTAACAACATAAGCCCTTCTGAAAAGAAACAGCAGTGGAGATCAGGTAGTGAGCATGTAACCCCATGCTAGCTTTCAAAACATTTACCCAGGGTTTTCACAGAATTCATAAATATGTCCTATGCAGTCTGCTTTTTAGCTTACTTTTCTTACTACTCTTGTCAGCTAAAAAAGGCTTAAAAATGTTCATTACAAAAGAACTTTGTCTGCAAATCACTATAATCAAAGGATTTGGAGGATACCTGAAGTGAAAGCAGTTTTACAGAAGTGGAACTGGAGGTATTGAGTATCAGTTGAACATTAATCAACACTGTGCCTTTACAGAGTTGAGAGTTGAAAAGGATTGCCCTGTAGTAGCAATAGTATAGCAAGCAAGAAGAAATTATTATTCTCTTTTATTTAGCATGTTTGCAGCTGCACCTAGAATAATCAGCCAAAATTTGGACTTTCCAGTATAGATGTCAACTAACTGGATTACAATGAGAAGTTGGAGACAGTTGGGTTTGTTCAACCTGATGAATAGAATGTCTTGAATTTCTTAAGAAAAATCCAGAGCCTTCTTGGAGCTGTACAACAACAACTGAGGGGCAATGAACACAAGTAACGCCAAGACAAATTCTGATCATGTTTCATGAAATTATGAAAACTCTCCTCAGTAACGCATCTCAATTACTTGAAACTTCTATCCCAGACTAACTGTGTAAACTGGCCTTTGAGATTCTTCAAAACCAAATCAGATAAGACATTAAGCAATCTTATATAACCTTCAATAAGAGGTTGGGCCACACCAACTATGGGGATCACCTATGACTATCAGACAGGCATACAAACAGACACCCTCATATTAACTATTAATTCTAGTTTATAACTCACAAGTACAGATGTTTGATGGTGAAAATAATAAACAGAAAAAGATCATTTTGCTGTTTTTAAAAGGCAAGTATAGTTCTTATTTACATTTAACATCATCATGAAATGGCATTTCTACCAAAAAAAAAATTCATCCTCCACTTGGAAATTAATTAAGACAAAATACTGGATGTCTGTCAGAATATTTACTGTATATTAAAATGTATAAACTTATTCAAAATATCTTAATTTGTTACAACAAATCAATTGACATTATCTTATATATTTTTAAGTCTCATTTTCCTAGGAAAAAAAAATCCTTTAAAAATATTCCTGGAACATGAAAGACATATTTCATGTTTCATTGTTGAAATTAGCTGTAACAAGTTCTGTTGGAAAAAAAAAAATTAAAAATTGCATATTTAGCTTCTCGTTTGTTTCTGCTTTTTATAATCTCCTTCTAAAATGTCACCAGAATGCTAGAGTGCAGATTGCTTTGTTAATTTGGTTCACATGAGACAGAACACTAAAATAAAAGACACACTACTCAGTGCTTCGCACTCAGTCTTATTACTAGAACTTACTGCATCAAACAGTATTCTTTTACCACATGACTCCTTTTTTGAGCAATGGAGGTACAATTTTAGAATGGCTTTTTCCCCTTTGGTGCAACTCTGAACTCAATGCATCATTTATATTCTTTTGCACCATGTATAATACACTGTAACACGATTGGATTTACTGGTGCTAGACAGACGAACTCCTAACCTTTAATGTCAGCTGCATTAGCATATAATTTCGTATCTATTTTCTCAGATTTATCATTTCACCTTTTACAGTGCACAAAGCTAATGTAAGTTCTGCTGATGCCACTGCAAACTGGTTAGGTTATTTTATTTCTAACCTTTGCAAAATGGCAATGTGATCTTCAGAAGATCTGAAAAGCTAAACTGAAATGAATGTGCTTTCCTCTCATTTCTGTTTTTTTCACTTTTACCATTCTTCTTCACATAACCTTTGTCCCTCCTCTGCCCTCTCTTAAGATAAAAAAAAAAAGTCCATTTAGAAACTGTGGAGAAGAACAAATTAGCTATAGAGACAAATGACTGAACTGCTTGTTTGGCTTCAATTACATATCAGCTGAAAGAAAGGCAAAGTTCTTATACCATATCTAAAAATATAGTAATTTCAAGGTAGATTAATTAGCTCTTTAATTAATGCTGCAACTTTGTTTGAGGCAATAATTTCAGCTAACAAAAATCACAATATCAGACAAATACGAAACAAAGCTGATCATAAAATCACAGATTTGCATGGGTTGGAAGGGACTTTAAAAAATCATTGAATCCAATCCCCCTGCTAAAGCAGATTCCCTACAATAGATCACACAGGTAGAGTCCAAGAGGGTCTTGAGAATCTCCATAGAGATAGACTCCACAGCTTCTCTGGGAAACCTGTTCCAGTGTTCCGTTACACTTGCAGAACAGAAGTTCTTTGGCATGTTAGTATGGAATTTCCCCTGTTCAAGTTTTAGGCCATTACTCCTTGTCTTATTGCTACATACCACTGAGAAGATTCTGGCCTCATACATTTGTCTCTCACCTCTCTTTAGATATTTATAAATATTTATCAGATTCCCCCCTCAGCCTTCGTTTTCCAAGGCTTACCAGAGCCAGATTACTCAGTCATTCCTCACATGGGAGATTCTCCAGCACTTTATCATCTTTACAGCCCTCTGCTGGACCTCTTATAGGAGATCCCTGTCTTTTTTGAACTGTGGAGGCCAGAATAAGATACATTATTCTAAATGTGGCCTCACCGGGGCAGAGTAGAAGAGAAGGATCACCTCCCTTGACTTGCTGATCACACTCTTTTTAATGCACCCCAGGATACCATTGGCCTTCTTGGCCACAAGGGCAAACTACTGGCTCATTGCCAACCTGTTCTCCACCAGGACACCCAGGTCCTTCTCTGCAGAGCTTCTCTCCAGCAGATCATCAGCTGACCTGTACTGATGCATGCATTTATTCCTCACCAGGAGCAAGACTATACTAAAATGTGGGGTTTTTTGTGTGTTTGTTTTTGTTTTTGTAAATGGCTATGCAAAAATATTAGATTTCATATCATATACTGATTTGGTCTTGTAGTAGAACAAATAGACATGACTTAAGTAAAAGCCAAGACCTTATAATTTTTATTAAAATACATCAGGCAGCCTTCTTTTATAGAAAGCTTTATCCACTCATTCACCAGAAAGGATTTTAAAGCTGTCGTGTGTTTTACAAAAATATGGAAGGGAAAGTAACTTTTGAATAACGAACACAAAAAGAGAAAGAGAAGACAGAAAAGAAATACGCAGTTTTCATATGCAACTATTTCCTATTTTATTGGATACTCAAAGAACAATACTTGCTTTGGTTTTAGTCACCTAAAACATGTGAAATCTGCTTCATGCCCTTCTAAGTATTCCTCCCTCTCTTCAGTCCCGCAGACACTCAGCATTCTTGTCACAGCTGCAGATTCCCAGTTTTGTAACTGGGACTTTCTCAGTGGCTAAAACTTGACCCTTCCTTGCCTGAGCAGGCTCTGTATCTCCCCTATGGGAAATGCAATATCCTGTCTGCTCCAGACAGCTCTTTCTCAGCCAGTCATTTTACTTAAAGAAGCATAACATGAATCTAATAATTGATCAATATGTCATATGTCATATCACAAAAGCAAAAAGAAAGGAAAAGATAAAATATCTGGAGTGAGTGTCATGGCTGTGACAATATTAATTTCACAAGATATTTCTCTATAAAACATCTGCTTTGAGTTAAATACGCTAAACAGATTTCAGAGCAGTTCAAAACATCAGTTTTACTATTGGAAAAGAAAAATAAAATAGTGGTTACGTGGCCACTAATGTCACTTAGAATCAATTCCTTAACTAGATACTATCACTAATTCATTTGACAGTTGAATATTAAAGACTTTTTTACAAACATGAATTAAAAACATAACTGTAAATAAGCATAGTTATACAAGTGTAACAAATTTCACAAAAGTCCTTTAAATACCTTTAACTTCTTTGTCATTCTTGAACCATCTGATATCAGCTGCTGGCTTGCTACCAGATGTCTTGCAAGTTAGCTGCATTCTCTCGCCTTCCATAACTGGTGAAGTAAATCCAGTAATTTGTGGCTTCTCAGGAACACCTAACAAGCAAACAAACAAAACGTATCTGATATGTTCAACTGTTACCATAAATATATGATCACCTTAGATTTCACTTCTTCATGTACTCTAAATTCTGTAAATGGAATTAGTAGTTCATTGTCTTTTATCAACATTTATTTAAAATTTCTATTGTAAATAAACTATCAATAAAAAACACAGAACTTATCCAGTTTTCAAAGGAATATGGATAATTTGTATCTTAGAACGTATTCTATCTAAAAATATTCTGCAAGCCGGTTGTAAGATATAAACTAGTCTGCACAGTAAAGAAAATGTTGAAGTACACTGGAAGCATATTGGAAGTAAAACTGAAAAAAAAACAATAACTGGCAAAAAACAGCTAACTGATCTAAGTTAAGAACAGATGTTTAAGCACGAATTATGAAGTTTTAATACAAAATCCAGGGAAATAGGAGGATGAAAACAAACACAGAAGTTACATTATTTTCAGAGAACCAATAATGAGAAAAAAAAAAAAAAAAAAGTATAATCACAAATCCATTGGCTATTGAGAATTCTTTAGCTGAATCCAAGGTCTTTGGAAGAGGTCTTAGGATTCATGAAATAGCATACATATTATAATAAATTTTGAAATAGTTATTTTTCAATGAGCCATGAAAGATTATAAATAAATTTATGAGTAGCGTTTACAAAAATGTCATTGCCATATGTATAAATCTATTTGACTTTGGCAAATACAGTAATAACTTACTTTAAAATGATACTGAAGATTGAAATTTTAAGATGCCTAAAAATGTCACTGTTAAAACTCACATCCGAAGAATTCATACTAATGGCAAGGTAAATGGATTAATCACAGCACCTCATCTTGTAACCTGCATTTCACAATTTGGCTCATTTACATCACTTTTCCAAAATGACAGATTATGTACATAAAAACCAAGCAGCAGTACATATCACAAAATACATTTCTGTAATAAATCTACTCCTCTCTTTGAGAACACAAAATCGTGTCTACCATAGTACTTTGACACTTAAATCTTTTAATCCATATCTGAACTGTCAAGAAAGAGATTATTAGTACATAAAAAGATGGTTTATCTGATTAAAAAGATGAAATGTTTTTCTATGGAAAAAAAAGTCCCATTCTCAAATGGAAAGAGTTTCAAGAGCTTAAAATATTGCTTTGAAACAATTCTAAAATATAAATAGATAGATAGATAGATAGATAGATAGATAAAAACAAAAAACAGGCATCTTAGACATTTTATTTTTCCTTCTTGAAAGTAAAGTAGTTGATGGCAGGAAAATTTCATTAACCCCCTCTCACACTCCTCAAATCGAAGATAAAACTAAATGAACTGTGGAAAATCAAGTTAACTCTGGTTAATAAAAGTGGTGATATGTTTTTTCTGTCTTTGTAACACCTTTCTATGCCTTTCTGTCATTTACAAGTTTGAACTGGTCCACTCATCTGTTCTTTAGATCATGCAATGCCTCTCTACAGAAAAACAGATTAACCTCAAGCAGATGTTACTCCTGCATATTCTGTTTTGAGAGGGTATTTTTCATTCTCAATGGCAAATTTCTAAAGATTTTTGTAAAATGGTCTCATGTGGACTGAAATGGAGACATATTTCAGGTCATATACGCAAAAGCAATTTCCTGTCTATATTAATCTGAATATTACTGGTGCAGAGAACATCTTACATCACTCCTATTAAATTCAACTGTTTGCCTGTCTACATATAAAAAATAAAAAAAAAAAAAAAATGAAGAAAGAGTATAGTTGAGGGATATAAAAAGGAGAAAAACATTAAAATCAGTCCCTATAATCATATCTCTTAGGTATGGATTTTGGTTTCAATGAACTCTAGCCATTTCAGCAGATTGAGCTACTGAAATTTGTCAAATTATGTAAAGCTTCAAATAGAAACTTTATTTCCTGGGCACCTCTAGAAATCCATTGCTTTTCTATGTGTATCCATAACCTATGGGGAAAACAGTAGAGCATTTAGAAGATAAAGCATAAAAGAACCAGCAAACTGAGTAAAAATATGCACTTTACAGACAAAAAGCAGAAACGAGAATGAGCCAAGCAAAGGCAACGCAAAGGAAAAACTATAAAGCTCTAATGACTGTTTTGATTTCAGGCTGATTTCTTCCCTTTTGCTTTCTAAAGTACATTGCTGGGAGATGAACATACACACTTTCTTCACATTTCTGGTGCTTGGGATGTAGAAGTTATGAAGCACTCCTTTTGTGCCATTTGTGCACTTCTTAATTCATTATCCTGTCCCAAATAGTAAGAGGCACATTATTTTTCAGCATAGCCATATTAAAAAATTAACTACAGGGACTTGAGATATTTACATGGCTTTTCTGCAAAACTTCAAACGAATTCATTCATATCATTATTTGCCAACGCTTGTTTCTGTAATGTGAGCACGCTCGGTTATTTATACTTACCAAGAACGGTAAGAAAAGCCTTGGAGGTTTTGACAGGCATAGTAAATAAAGAGCAGGTGTACTGCCCTTCATCTGACAGAGACACATCGCTGACACTGATACTCAGTTCATGCCACGAAGCTCGAACCAGCTCAATTCTGTTGTCCCGTAGAGCTGGAAGAAAAAAAAAAAAGGTAAGAAAGCCTAGCCCATTAACAAAGCTTGGCTTATTACATAGGAGACTCTCTATATTATCCTAGGGAAGTTACACCCAAGAATACAGGGTTACAAACAGTTGTCTTAACACATAGTTGTTTTCTCTGTGGAAAGAAGCGTGAGGGTTTAGCAAGTTTCTGAATACTGAACTTATTTACTTCTAATGTATGTAAACCTAAAAACCTAAGGGACTTAACTTTTACATTTGGTCAAGCTCTGAAAAACCAATGTTGTGACTGATTTCTGCTATCTAATAGCTTTGTGCAGTCCTTAAATAACTTCTCTCCAGAAGCATTTTTTTTTTCCCAAGAATTTACATGCTTGGATGAATCTTGAGAATTCTGTTTCATCTAGTAACAAACTGCATTTTCAACTAACAGATCTAGTGCTGCATAGGTTGCCTACAGATTTCTCTCTTGTCTTATTACTACTGAGGTTGAATTAATAAGTTTTCCTGAAGACTGTTAGAGCACTTCTGGTTATGAATATATTCAAAGTTCTACGTGCATTTGGAACACATTTTATGGTTTGAGGTAGTTGAATATTGTGGTCTTACTTTTCTTTTTTATGGCAGCTAAAACTCTGACCTATCAGAAAATCATTCATAACAAAATTCTGTTTGCATGAAGCCAACAAAGGAAGAGTAAGAGGTAGATCACTTCAATTCAAAATGACACTTTAGCTAACACTTTAAAATCTTACATATTTTAAAGCATTAACCCACATTTTCTATTTATGAGCAATCAAAACATCCAACTATTTAATTTCTTTAGAATAATGGAATAATGCTATTTCAGAAATCCACATATATTAATTTTTTTGTTTGTTTGCTTCTTCAGTGCAGGAACACTACTATCAGAGGTAAGTAAGCACTGTAATTCTCCTATGTGAACAAAGCCTCTGTAACTTGGAAAGCACTGTTAGGTTCAAATCTTTGGATTGACAGGTTTCAGTCTTCAGTGAGTCTATTTTTATAGTAAGCCTCTGGAAGTTCAAGTAAAAGTGGACTATCGTAATTACCAGGAGAGCTTTGCTTTGATTTGTGAGAACCACCAAGATGCTCATTTCCTAATTCTGTTCTCACTCTACTCTTTCAAAAGTCCCCAAAGGCTTTGAATTTGTTTCACCTACCATTTATATCTCTCCAGTGAGAAAAACGAAGCTTTAATGTGGTTTGTTTGCTACTAAATCTGGATGTTTCTGAACCATCACAAAACTCCCTAAGTACTGTCAACACAGGAAGAATTACAGCAAAATAAGCAGCCACAGAGAAGATTTAGCAAAAATGTCACTTAAATTGGTTGTCTTCTAAGGCTACTCTTCAGGTTTCTTTACAATGACTTCAAGACAAATTTATTGGTTATTTCAGGGTAGGTCAGCTAAAGCTTGACTTTCTTCGGGGTCTGATGACTGAAAGACAACAGCTTAAGTAGACTTGACATATAAGCATGCCATGCGTTTTTCTAAGGCACATCAAAGAGGCTGAGATTGTGTGCAGTGGACACATTCTAAACATATCTGAAACATATTCTGTCCCTCCATAGAAAAAGCAAATAATTATTTAATATGTAATAGTAAATGCATATAATAATGAAAAATAGGTGCAACATCAAACAAACAAACAAGCAAATAAAAAGTCCCAATACGAAAAGCTATATCAGCTTTTAAATCAGCATGTTAGCAATATTAACAGGGGAACATGCTCAAGAAAGTACATGGAAGCAAGCTCCTACCAATGCAGAGCAGCAGGCAAAGTCGATGACTGTGGCTTTACTAGCCAAACGTCCTCACAACAGTAAAGTTCTTGCTGTCTTTGAAGAAATAATTAGAGACTCAGAATTCATCTGTCAGTGTTACCATTCTAGTCAGATGAAAACTGAGCTGTCATAAGGATGGTCGTTTATTTCATATTAGTGATCTTTCAGAAAAAAATATTTTCAAAATGCCCCAGTGCTTCCAAATATTTTGATTCCCACACCCATCATTTGGAAAACAAAATAGAAAATGAAAGAAAACAACAAAACCTCAAAACAAAACAAGTACCTCAGTATGCCATAATGTCAAAGTTGTGACTTCTATATCCCAAGACAAAAACTGTTCAAAAATAATGCAGTATATAATCTTACACTGTACTCCATTTTGACAACTGCCATTGTCTCTGATAGATTCACTGTTGAAATATTTTGCTACAGATGGGGCAATGTGCAGAATCTCATGCACTAAAAAGAATTATAATTAACCCCGGCGTAAGATGATGCCAGAAAGAAACTACTTTATCCTACTGGTATAGAGAAAAAGCAACAACTGAAATACAAACCAACTGCATGAAGTACACTCCTGCAGCTACCCTCATTTCCTCCCCTCCACAGCTTTTTAACCTTTGTGCAACATGAAATCGTCAGCTCAATCAATTTTCTGGAAAACCAGTAAAAACAACCACTGATGGAGAGCTGAGATCAGAAATACCCTGCCTCAGCCCAGAATGAAATTTATTGAAGGCATGGGGGGAAAGAAGAGTTTTCTAATGGAAATAGATTGTAGAGGAAACTGACGAAAAAACTTTTCCACTTTCACTTAGACAAGGCTAGCACTTACATGGAGATTTTTTACATTCTTATTTTCAAACTTTATTATTTATACCTTTATCAACAGCTATATATTTCTTTATATCTGCTCAAAAAGCCAACAAATTTCTCCTATGAAATTGAAAGCTGTGGTAGATGCCAGAATTGGTTTCTTTCCATTTTCTGTCAGGTACTTATTGCTGACAGAGTAAAGACTGACTAGAGAAAAGAAGACAACAAAGCTGTAGTCCTGACTCTGGTGCTCTGGGTCAGAAGGAATCTTCTGGGAAAGGGTGACTGCTCCCTAGTAGAGCAGGTGAGTCAGCACTGAAGCACTGGAGAAGCCTGCAGCACTGCTAGTCAGGCAGCACAGAATGAGTGGAGCAAGGGTCTCTTGTGAGGCAGAGAGTAAATCCTTGCCAAGTCTGGCTGATGGAGAAAAGAAGCCTGTGGAGTTTGAATAGAAGCAAGCTACTTGGAGGAATCAACTGGAAAGCAGAAGCATGAAGGAAGAAACACACTCCTCAAGGAGCTAGTGGAAATGAAGGAGATTTGTTTACTATTCTCTATTCAGACCATTTCCGCAAATCTGACCTCTACCTTTTTTATAAGCATTTTAATTGCTCTTCCTTTGAAGTCAGAATTGCCCCGAACTGAGCAATTTTACCAGTTTCAAGCTAACTCAAGGTTATGCCATAGAGGAAATACAGTATCAAAAAGTAAAATACGAAATGCTCTCCCTTATTTAGTCAGCTGCTGAAAAGAAAAAGTAGAACCTCATGATCTGTAATTTGATTCATACTAACACAGATTCATGCTTCCTGAAATGTTCGTGCATTGTTCAGTACATATGGCAGTAAATATTCCTAGCTTCTCCAAATAAATTACCAGGAAACAACAGGCTTATGTTTAAGCATCTCATGCAGCTACCATGCTGTTCTGAAGCAACATGGTTTATACCTCCACTTTTTATGAAGGTTATACTAATAGCCACAATTTTATTCCACAGGTAGTTTCAGAGTACTATTGATTAGACATATGGCAGTACTGACAAGAGAACCTGGGTTTGGATAGAAAAGAATTTTGTCCCTAACAACCCTACATACTCTCTCCTCACTTGACTTGCGTCCTTCTTTCCCATCCTCACTGCTACCTCTGCCTGCTCTTTCAGAAACTTTCCTGGAAGCTCTTCCTTTTTTCTCTATTTTACTTTGTAAGAAGCCCAGCAGACCTTGTAGCCCTTTTCTTGGGGATCTGCATCTATATTCTAGAATTGTCATCTTCTTGACCATTCTTATTTCCACACTTTTGCATGATACCGGGATGCTATAATGGTAAATAAAAAGAATATGTATTTGATTTCTGTTATGACACGGTTGCTCAAAACAGTAACAAAGAATACCACCTCTGGCATCTCCTTCCTGCTCTCTTATGTTGCAAGAGCTCACAAAACATAATTGCGTAAGTTCCAATATGCCCTAAGTCCATTATTTCATTTTTATGTAATTTTCAGGCAAATATGATGTAATTAATTTGAAAGGTATGAAGTAATTATGCATAAAATACTTGTTCATAAGCAGACACACTTCATTTACTTTACCTGTCATTCTCTCCTTCTCTGCAAAAGATTTCCTTTCAGAATGTTTTCTGACTCAGAAACAAGAAACCCTGATAATTTGCATAGTTTAGCCTATTTTGAGTAAAATATACAGTTGCATAATTCAGCTGCATTAATTAGCAATTGTTGAGGCTGGCAACCATTGGAGAAAACTGATCTCCTAGTTCAGTCACAGAAAGCTGTATTTTATTTTTTGGCACAAAGTAATAAAGTGATCATATGTAACAATGCAGTGAAAACTTGCGGTAGGAATTGAACAGAGAAAAATTTTTTAGAAATTTATACTATCATGGAAGAAATACCCACATTTCCCATAGTAAGGAAAAGAACAGTTGGACATGTTACAATTGCTGGAGTGCAGCATCTCTAATCTTATTTCTCTAATGCAACTACTTCTTATTAATGTTTAGAGTCAAATATTTGAAGAATGGGGAAAAAATAAACAGCAAAATCCCTGAATCCTCCAGAGTACTTTGCAGATGTTTTGACAATACTGACTTGACATCTGCTGCCATCCTGGGATTCACTCAACGACATTTTCTTTCTTATGTTAGAGCTGATCTCTATGTCATGGGAATAATGTAGCTGCTAGCTGGGACCAGAAGGATTCCTCATACTCTACAGGTCACGCCAGAAATTTAATACTTATGAAACTGAAGTAATTCCTCTGATTTTAAAAATCCAACTTGCTGAATGCAGGAACATCAGCAGCGCTGAAAGAGATTTCAAGGGATATATAATCCATTTAATTTGCTTCTGGATATAATTGAAAAGGC